GGGTTGCGCTGCCATGGGCCACGCCATACTGCAGTCGTTAGTGCACTGCACCAATTTGTTGGGTGCATACAAATGATTCGACTCTTTATTTGGAGCATTGTTTACAGTTGAGTTCACACATTTGCGATGGGTTTTGGTTAAATGGATGGTACATTTTCCGGCATTGCTAGGTATGCTACTCTTAACTCAATCTAGAAGGAAATGGCTATTTTAATGATGAGCGCCTCATATTGTCACTAGGCGCTAAAACTATTTGTTAGCACAACAATGGTACACAATTAACACACTGTTACACTACATTGAAAACCAGAAAGTTAGAAGTCAGAAAAAGACAATGTAAAGCGCTAAACTTCAAATCGTGTTACAAGTTATAAAATGAAAGACGATACACCATAAACAATAAACCTACACCGAGTTCGATATAGAAAGCATCGAATGACACCGTAAATCATCGGTATCATAATAAAGAGCGCGCGTGTCGAAATCACGGCCACGCCTTTTGTGGCTCTATGGCGATGAGTGAGCCACTAAAGACATTTTCACTTGACTATTTTCGTGCACCGCTAAAAGGAGACCGCCCAGTCAGGTCCAGGTGACAATATAGAAGTCATGGGAATAAACAAGCCAAGGGTACCATACTGCTGGATTCGTTAGTAATGGGATATTTTGTCCAAATCAATCGCCTAGACTCCCAGAGAGAAAAGATTCTGGTTCTATCCTACAATTAGTACATTAAAATGTTTTGGGAACATTTTTGTTCTTTTATAGGACTAAATGTGAGACAGTGAAATTAATAGGGCTAATATTCACAATTAAATATACAATTTCTAAACCAATTGCACTTTCTCGATTCCAACATTTGGTCAAGTTATGGCGGACTGGAATGATTGGAGAAATAAAAGGTAAAGTGTTCCATCACGAACATAATAAAATAATAGGTACGCACGTGTTATAGTTGTACATTTTGGTATGTTGATGATCCAAGAATATCAATCAATGATAGTATCAATGGGTTGAATGATTGGGGAGAAAGTAAATCGATAACTGAACTGATACCGATTTATCATTAAAAATATATTGCATTCGGTGCTTCCGCTATCCGAGTTACTCAATAAGTATTAGATGATTCCATCTCACTCAATTGGTGATATGAATTTTATTAGAATACCTTTTACAGTTTCTCTTGTAATGCACTTTCGTTTGAGATTACACAATATCACACCAATTTCAATAATTGGATTCAATTAAGCTGTCACTTTAGATAAATTCGTTGCTTCTAGGGTTTATGTTGAAAGTGCCTACATCGTTTTTTCTTGTACTTCGATTATGTTGTCATACCAACATAAAACTTAATTATACACAAGTTCTTGCGTTAATTTACCCCGTTATTATGTTTTCATCGCGTGAGATATGTGGTGGGTAAAAGCATTTCATCACACATTATAGTGATGACTCAATCTCAACTAAGTCTGGTAATTACGTTACCACACATTACCACAGTTCTCATAATTGCTGATATAAAAAGTGTGATGGCTAGCGCGCATTGTTGTAGGCTGGAGGAAGACAGTTAATCTGATGAAAATATCGAGTTTTTTAGTTAATATACGAATTACGAACGTAAACAACAAAAGCATTACCACGACAGGAATCATATTGAAAGATTGAATGTTGACAGAAAAGTCTGCTTTAGTACAAAAACATAACAACGCACACGCGATGCTCGTTTGTCAGTCACTGTGAATTGCGATTCCGACGCCGCGCATCACTAATTGTTGCGCAACAAACTAGTTTTTTGGGAGGAAGTTCCAATCTCCCTTTCGCCCAGACGAATGAAAGATGCGAATACATGAATACATCCGAGCAGTGGATGCCATACGTTCAATGCCCATTGTTTGCAGCAACCGAAGTGGCAAGATGCAGTGGTCCGATTAGCGACCACTTACCGCAGTTTGTGGGGGCGGCTGTGGTAAATCGTAGCCATTAATATTGTGGTTGTTTCCACACGAGTTGTCATGGATATTCACTTCGAAGCGTGGACCTTGTATTTAGTCTTCAGGAATCGACCTATATGAATATTTTCATACGACCTATAAATAATTTTAGACTGGAACAAAGATGATAGCATAAAAGAAAACTGTAATACAAAAATATTCAGACGAAAAAAACTCGATTGGCTACATTTTCGTTTTACTTTTTCTAGGCCAAGTAAGCTTGAATTCATAGCAGGTGAAATGTAACCAACAGCTGTAAAATAATTTAGCAAATAAAATAAGTAAACAATTTTTAATTAAACAGTACCTAGTAACTACATTTTCAATAATGGATAATTATTTAAAATTGATTAGGTATGCAAATAACAATCGCTAGTTAGTTGAGTAACAGTTGGAACATTTTAAGTGGGTCACTTAAAAGCCTTCCATTAAGAAGCATAGAAATAAATACTTGGTTAACTAATGGGTAACTCATGTCAGTCTAATGCAATTGTCTATGGCGAAGGAAAAGGAAATAAATAACTGCTCCGGCGCATTGATCTGTGAGAAATACAATCTTTGTTTCGTACTTAAGTTGAAGGTCGGTTTGTGGCCTAGAGTTTGGTCTAAGTTACAAGTTTGATCTATCTTTTTCATCTTTTGAATTCGGATCTAAAAAAATTTAAAGAATTTTCAGTGGGCATTTGATTATATAAATTAATTTCATATTGGGGTATCAGTTGACTCTGAAGTGTATTTGGATTTTCTTTTGGTGTCATTAGGTAGTAAACTATACGTTCTACTACAACTAAAAGAAAGAAGAAATTATACAGTTATAATGTCAATGACATATTCGCAAAAAGTGCTCCGCGTATGTGATCCAATCTCCGTATTCCATAAGGCGGGTAATGTTCGTATTTTGATTAGAAGTTTCACCTATTCACATCATCAGACCCCGGATGGGCGGACATTTAAACGAATGTAGCACTTATTGTAATCGACATAAGAACCCGGGACTGCGAAATTCACCTTTTCTCTTGGGCCAAAGTTAATAGACGCTACTGATATTACTAATGACCCTTATTTACGACTTCGAGTGTTGATCTGTCTGGTGCTGCATTGAAATTGGTAGTAAAACAATATCCAGGTTCGATTGCAAGTGCATGTAGAGTAATAGACTTATGTACATGAGCTATATAGTTATTTTCTACGTAGAACATTATTCCTTCCACTGCATATTAATTGTATTTCAGCCTTTGTGAATTTCGTTGAATCGTTAAGGCTGATATTTAGTGGTTTTACTTCAGGATATAAAGTAAAGTCTATAATTTTATTACGAATGTTTTACTAAAGGAAATGTTGCACCAATAATAAAACTGTTCGGTTTACGTCGATTGAGTGGTGAATCAATGAACGTGAAACAACTACACAGCTAGCTGTCACTCAAACACCTTAGCGTACAACAAAAAGTAGTTCGTATCCGACACAAACTATAACGAAATATTACTGGCTGATTAGTGTACTGACCACTATCATGGGTTTTAAAGTTTTGCTTTAAGAGCTTCCGGAGTTTTATATGACCTTTGAGTAACGCTATTAACATCTTTTTTTGTTCATCGCTCATTTATAATTTTGTTTCATTGTACTTGCAAATTGAAACTTCCAATCTCGTATCTCTATCTTTTCCACTCATCGCATACCTACTATGCATATTAATTAGTCAAATTAATATTATGTAGTTCCGCTTCATCAGTCATGGTGTCTATTAATAGTTATTATACTATTTAAAGAAGACAGCTCGATTTGTGTGGGGATAGTAATTCCCAGATTAGTGAGAGAGAGTATGATGATTACTGTATTTCAAATAAAAATGTTATGAAAGCAAGCATCTAGACTTACGTATATTCAGCCAATAGACGTAAAGCTACTGATGTAATCACAATTACTAATGACCCAATTACTAAAGTACGACAATTAAAATTGATTTATTTTAGCGGAAGTTACGCCAGTGGAATACGTGATACTGAATGAAAGAAAACAAAAGCTTTGCTTGGTAATTGCAATTCTTGGAGCAGACAAAAAATTGCTCTGAGCTGTGGGTATGTCTTCACAAATTGTTATTGATTTTTTGATTGAACGCTTACAATAAACGATCCATTGGTTTACCTTGAATTTCTGTCCTCGAATAATGTGGTTTATAGGCTACAGCAGTAGGTCGTAGAAAGGCCGTTTAGTTTAATTCAAACAAATCGTTGATCATTGTTTACGAGCTATGTTAAATGCAAAATAACTGACAATTTGATAGAAGTCTCGGCATTTTATGACAGAGCTGGAAAATGCTGGCCAGGAAATGCAAGCGCTTCCTGCTATCTACATACACAGTACACACCCTTGGTTTATGTTACTCATAATAAAGAAGAGAAATACCGTTTATTTATCAGTTAAAGTTTTTTATCGTACTATAACTATGGAAGATTACTCTCACATTTTTTTTGCATAGTCTTCATCTTTGCTATCTGTAGAAATGAGTGACACATCTCGGTTTTTATCTTGATAAAAAGTTTGATTTATCTTATCAGCAGTGCTATGAAAACATAAGATTCGATAACAGTGAATTTCATAACATTACCAACAAAAATCTAAGGAATGAAAGTTTTTGACTTCCAGTTGATTATTTCACCGTAGCCCTTGATTAGGTTCTTCCAGATTTTGGATTTATAACTGTCCCCGATATTCCACCAATAGTTGCTTAGTTCATTGAAACGGTATTCGTCATAGTCTCTAAGATACCTGAGTGTTTAACCGGAGACAAAAGTAAATAAATTCAAACAATTTATTTGGATGTCTAACAACTTTTTCTTTTGTTCCAGGTTTGTAACCATGATTGATATTCAAGCGGTGACCGCAAATAAAAATAAAGATGACCGAAGACGAGCACAGCACGGTAAGTGAGGATAGTTGTTTTCTATGAGTATTTTCTCTGGGCCCGCTGTGACATCGCTACCTACTTCGGTTCAGCGGACGTTCGGAAATGCATCGGTGTTTGAGCGCGGCGCGCGCGCAGTCACCTGCCGCGGATCTCGACCGCAGCACGCGTGCGCGAACTACAACCGAGATGCCGCGAAACGTGCGTACACAGCGATGCGTCAACTGAAAAAAAATACCGCGAAATTTTAACTTTTTTCTTTTTCTTCAACTCTAGTGAACTGTGTTGCCAGTGCTTGTGTGCTCTTATTTCTTCTTGGGACCACGTTCAGGAATGCATTCTATGCGGTATGATAAAAGATTCACGATTGTGAATTTTAATGTCTCTATTTGGGGAAACAGGTTTATCAAATGCCAATCCATGCATTTTTACAAACTTGACGGAATTTTGATGCATGCGCCGATTTATCAAGGTAGTCGTTGGTGAATTGTGATGATTGGTGAACGTGTGTTACAATTTCCGTGAACTACCCTCGATTTTTCATGGCATTGGTTACTTAATAACCGTTGATAAGTTGAACTATTATCACGATAATATGCTGTGATAGTTGAATGTGCATCAATTAGTCTTAATTAGTTTCGACATTGTGTTGCGCGGTACCTATATTGTTAATTTAATTCTGCATGAATTATTTTTGTGTGAACGAAAAAGTGCGTGCTTTCAAGGACTGATAAAATAGATTGATGGTACGTTCAATTTGCATAATTTCTCTTGTAACTGTATTGTGTTTCTATGTAAAATTTTGAAATCTTCATTTTTATGTAGAACGTAGAACCTGTAGTTTTTGTTGTAGAAGGAACCTGGTTCCTAAATCAATCAGTATTTTAGAATTTGATTATTTTAGCATGTTTAGGCTTAATACGTTGAACTTCTACTAAACTGATAGTTAGTACTATTGTATGTTCAGCCAACCTTTAGTTGGAGACACAGGTTGCGCCACGCAGCCAAGCTAATTTCTTACAATCTTCGTTGGGAACAAAACTAATAAATAGTCTCATTATTCGCAAATTTGCTGTCAATCCCACAAAATATTAGAAATGACCAAATCATATCCAACTTCAGATATTACATTGTTCTTATAAAACCTATTAAAATTTTTGAAAAAATAAGCGTGAAACATCTAATTAATTCGTAATTGTAAGGTCAATCAAACGAGAAGATTGCGACACCGACTTAAACATCTTCTTTTACGAATATAATTATGTTAATTAATAATTATTATACTCGTACTAATTCATCAGTAATCACCACACACGTGGGCAATGAATCTTATATTCTTACTTAGACTATTGGTTAAAGTTCAGAGAAGATAGTTTGTGCTAACCAATTTTTAAAACTTGAGAACAGATGGAAAATTCGTGTTTTATTTTAATTCTTATTAAAGTTGAATTCCCCACTATGAGAAAGATTGGAATTAATCTAGAAGACACCGTTTTTTACTTTCTTCGATCTGCTAATTCTAAAATAATTAAATCATGACAGAAAACGTCTATTGGGTCAGTTACATCTAAAATAATTTGATTCCAGTTAGAAAATTATTCGTTTGCATCAAGCGTAGCATGTGAAATACCTACACAAGAAATGTATAGAGTCGGCTGAAATTTACTTGGTGGTGTGTAATTGTTTCACACCTTGCCGATTGCTCCGTGTTGCGGTTTTGTTTTCGCCATTTTGTATTTTAAATAGAATTTGTTCACAATTGTTTTTTCTGATTAAGAAATTGTAACTTACTTTTTGTTCAGTTCGACAACTATTTTCAAGCATTTAATTATTTAATCGTGCAAAGTGAATTTAACGACTCGAGACACACTCTATTAGTCAATAAGACTCATGAAGTCGTAAACATGTTCGATACAATAATTTTCCGGTTTCCTAGTTACGAGTATTTAAAATGAAAATGAAATTTTTGTTACGCCAGAGTAGGTGCACACGTCTTTGTGCTATTTGTGTCTTACTAGTTTATAAATTCATATTTTGTTGTTGTTTTTTATTATGTTTTACAATCTTATCAGATTTTATTATTATAGTATCGAGAGAAATAAATAAATGTAAATGTTAAAATACTTATTGCACGTGTGAATATATTTTATATGAATCGCCTGTTTATTATCAAAGTTATCTTTGCATGTACAATACGGGGTACGTTTAAAAGTCATGATGTTTGCTACACGGCCTAGTTTTCCATAACATAAGAGCTTTTTTCCCGGAACGCCATAGTTTCTATATTATCTTATCGATCCATTCTTATCTCGATGTTGTTGCAAACATGTATATTGCTTCTAGAACATTAAGGTAATGTTTTCCATTTTTATTCGACTAGAACATTTATTGCGCACTTAGTATAATTTTATAAGTTAGTAAAAGTCTTCAAATTAACTGACAGAAGTTTTCGAAACACCTCGTAATTTGGGAGTTGTCCAAATGTTGAAATCTACGTAGCTACTTTATAAACCTCACCTATGACCATTATGTCGTTGCGGATATTTCCAACAATCCATTAAAGAATAGTCATTAAAAAATTTGATCATTTACTATTGTCAAATCGTAAATATAGATCTTGGCCACCAGTTCGTTTAATTCAAACGCACATGACAACAACAATATTAAAACTACCAAAAACAAGCATTTCCTCCGTGGTGCGGACAATATGCGAGGGAAAGTGAGTTGATCGCGCTAATTACCGGAGCGAGGAAACGTTAGCTAACACGCGTGCGCGCATCGTCGACGTCCATTGACTACAATTTGGTGATGACATTGCAAGGATTAGTATAATGCTCATCATCATCAGGTCATCTAGTGTCACGAACCTCTCCAATTTATCAGAGGCGAATAGAATATTTGGATTTTGTCGATCAAGGCTTGTATGTGTTTCCTTTATTAAACAACATTGCGAAGATCGGTATGCTCATTATCATCAAGTCATTATCATCATTATACAGTCTCCACTGCAGGAGCAAGAATTGTTTTTGTTGAATCCAGTCTTTTCAAAATTAAACAACTCGCAATGGTTCATTTTCTTTCATTAGTTAGTTGGTACATTTTGAAATTATAGCTACCTATTGCTGCTAAACGACATAAACTATTTAGGAAACTATGGGATGTGTCTATGTGTGATTTAAATGATAACATATCACGGATCACGTCACACAACAGTAGACAATATCTATTTACCGCATGTCTGCAATCTTACGTTTATCTCACAAAAGGTGTTCCGCTAGAAAACAAAAAACAAAAGGTCTGCTAGGTAATAAACATTAATAAATACAGACGTAACGTTGTCATATTTAAGTGAAAGCGTATCTCTTAACACTCTTAATATTGTAAGTTTGGTGTATTGGATTCGTTAAAATGGCATGAAATTGCTCTGATGTTGGATCGCAAAAATTTCGACTCTCCGATCGCAATTTCGTAGAAGCGCGCGACAAAAACGTCGTTTTGTGTCTGTTACTGCTCAACCGATCAATTTGGTGATGCGTTGTCATAGTCACTTTATAGAACATCTAAAATAGATATAGAGGTAGTATGTACGGGCACATTTTGATTTTAGAATTCACGTGTTCACTTCTGTCACGTGAATTCTTAAAAGCTCAGTGCAGATCTAATAACTGTGATGTTGTTGTAGACACCTACGAAGGTTAATGTTGCGAAGATTGATGCCATCTCTCTCACAAATTTTCATTTGCCTGTTAGTTACTTTGAGCTTTGATAACGTTTTGTTGTTCTGCTGATCTTTGCATTCTCTTTATCTAGATCTAGGTGATGTCAGTTCACAGTAGACAACATTATTGATTAGATAATTGTGACATAAGTTAAACGAACAGTTGCTGAAATGGAAACCCCCAATATCAACTTTCGCATTCCCAATTACGAATTGCTTATAGACTGGCGCGAAATGTTTACTATACACCTTTATTTACTCGGTTCCGCTAGTATAACATGATTCGATACACTTAATCATTTGAGTTTTAACAGCAGCAGTTTCTATTTCATTCACAGTCTTGAAAGTACGTCCAATCGATTGCGAGATATCGACTTGTTACATCTTACGATTATGAATGACTACCGTAAGTACATTACGATAATTCTATTGTTTATCTCTGTCTTATGGTTTCTCCGTTTTCTAGAGTCTAGCATGACTTTGACAAAGCCAGGTAGATCAGACGTCTTTATGAAATCATTTCGAGCCTTGAACTTTAGCTCACCGCAATTTATAGAGCAGTTGCCGTTTCTCATGAAATATCAAGATGATTTCAATAAAATTATTTCACACAAAATAAAATTAAAGATATTGCTCGTACCTTTATTCAGAAAATAATCATAAACTTAGGTATACGTAAGATAGTATTATTTAACAGTTTGTTGGTCATTGAATAGAAAGCCTATTGCGTGTTTTTAACACATTTTATTGGCTCTCTCGAAAGAAATCGCCAGGATCACCTTTTTATTACAAAAGCTGTGCCTAAAAGCGAACATTTTCTCCGAGACATTTGGTAAAACTCTATCAATATTCATCAGGTGACGCAACTCATTACTGCCCGAAATTCACCGAATGCTCAACATCTTTATGCAAAACACTTTAAATGGGCGAATTATTCAATTGAACACGGCGGTTTCACACATGGATTTGCAAATATAATGGAAACCTATCGCTCAATAAAAAGATAAAAATATTCAAAGGCCAAGAAAACAGATGAATAGCGAAAATTGCAAAACATCTGAAGATCGATTTTTAAATATTGGCAAACTCTTGATCAAAATCTCATCTAGATAACAAATAATGTTAAAAATAATAAGATTAATGAAGACGAAATGAAATGAAATTCTTAATTACAGTGATCGTCCATGCCACACAATATCATATTTGACGTAGTTATTGCAATGCTATTAGGCAATATGTAATTAAAAATGACCGGTAAGGCCACAGTTTTGACTACACTTTGACATCCAATTAATTCGATATTTCGTTAGCTCATGATACTTGTTATCAAGTCTTACGTCCAGGCAGACCCATAAATTTTTGAATCTTATACCATTGTATCAAAGTCGAAAATGTTCTATGAGTGATTAGAACCACATAGGTAATTAAGTTGATATGCAAACAATAATGCACTCTTTTGTAAGAACATTTCGCAAAACTCATTATACCGTTAATTACGGCGTATCGATTGATTGTTATCATTTATTATTGGCCAAGCCGTTACAAATTTACTTGCTTTGGCTAAAGGCCCATTATGATTTCAAAAGGATTTGCCAATTCTGAATGGGTCGCTTTTGACAAATCTTGTCACCACTCGTGCATTAAAGGAAATATTAGATTATTTTTTCAAGGCCACCAAAGAAAAATCGAAAGCGTAATTGTATCTTTACCTAAATATGGTAACACTCCAAAATTATGACCTGACCACAGAATAAATTTCTTGAACTAATGTTCATCCGTGATCACGGATTTAATACAGTTTTGCATACAGGAACTGCGCTGGAATACCGGAGTCTTATCCAAATAATGAAAATGGTATAAATCCCGTTAGTATTAACAATTTAAGAATTGGTGACCATTAACACCTCAAACAATAAATCTATTACTAAAAGGCTATTGATCTCGAAATTGGGTCTACATAATGAGATGTCTGCTAATTCTGTTTTAAATTTTTGAAGTAGTTTTGACGGTGAAATCCTTTTTAGGCTTCTAATGTAATTTATAAGATTTAAAGATAGGCCTCTGTCTGCTTTTTTAATGGCTTAACTTTTTAGAGTTCAAAATAACAAAGTCAACGACTACTTAATTAGTGGAAATTAATACGGTTATGGATTAGTCAGCTCCGATTTACGGTACATGGTGTATGACGTAGGTGGAATATGAACTCGACTATCGAATGTCAAACTTGGATCAAGTGTCAGTGAAGTTCATGCTTAGGGTTGTCACTGTCTTCTTCTTCTTCTTTCATGTCAAACGGCATGCCGCGGCATCACTATTTTTCCGCAACCAAAATTGTACGATTAAACCAGAGACAATCTCTGTGGCTCTCGTCGATTCTTTTCTTCGTTCTTCTCGTTCGGATCCTAAGAGCGTTTTATTCGTATTTCAATGTCATGCAACGAATTAAATCAACGGTCATATTAGGTTTAATTCAGACAAGTAAGAACACCTCAGGTGGGATTAGAACCCATGACTTTTCGCTTGCCAGGAATCTGTCCTGATCGCTACGGAGGCATTGGTAAACCTGTCGCCTTTTAAGTTATTTGTATCTGTAAATGAATAAAGTATTTGTAGTTAGTATTGGTCTCAAGAAGAAGTAATATAACAAACGTTTAACAATAGATGCGTGTATAAAATCAATTGACTCGTCGTAAAATGTGAAAAGGACCCAGATACGATAGCAACATGTGCAGCAAGGATCAGATCAATCACATTCTCGGGAAGATCAATGTGGTAAGTTTATTTTATTTATTTTGCATGCCAGTCGTGTTAACATAGACTCTTAAGGTTCAGTCAAACCAACGCGATCGTACGCGATCAGGCGGCGTGCAGCGATGGCGATCAGACAAATGCATTGATCGCCATCGCTGCACGCCGGCTGATGGCGTGTGATCGCGTTGGTTTGGCCGAACCTTTAGTCTGATCGCTATTGCTGTACGCCGGTTGATCGCGTTGGTTTGGCTTACCCTTTATACGGCCTATTTAACCGATACTATAAACGCCAATGTGCACTCGAATTTAATGGCATCATGTAAGCTTTAAATATGCGCAATAAGTAACAAAAGCAGTCTAAGTTGCGATTACCTATAAGATATATTTTTTAATAAGAAATAAAATGTATTATTTCTGTAATATAATGCGTGTGTTGTTATGCTTCCTAATGACCTACATGGCGTTCAGTATTTTGAATTTATAATACCTACGACATCAATTTAAAAGAACATTGTTTACAATGGAAAATATGTAGGCAGGAACATTAAAGTCAGTATTATCACTAAAAACACCTACTTGAAACATCACTTAAAATTCAATTGATTTTGAAACACTTAAGGCTAATTTCGCAGTGAATTAATTGAACAAGCGTACCGAGTAATTTCAATATTGCATTAAGTTTGTACTGTTCGCTATTGGTAGTAAACTTACTTACTTAATTAATTCCATTGACTATGCTCTACGATTGGCATTTCATGTACTAACATTGAGGTTTTCGGAATTCAGTTGTTTGGGTATGTACTATGAAAGCACTCTATGTAGCAATTTTTTTCTTGCAAAATCGCACCTATTAGTAAATTCTACATTAGATTCCACAGATTTAACTTTATGAACCGTCATTTTGCATTTCATTATGTCACATCACAATGCAATTATTTAGTTTTTTATTTATTTATTTGATTCTATTATTAAAGTCACATTGAAAATAGACAATTTGTTAAGTTATAAATATTAATACACCCACAAATTCGACTCGGAATGTCTTAGAGGCGTAGTTCACCTCTGGCTAAATTATGATTAATAACCGATATTATTATTCAAAAATATTCATGGGTAATTCAATAATGTCGTTTGGTGCAGCCAAAATAATGTCCAACTTGGCAATGAGATGTGGGCTTGAGATACAGTCAGATAACAAAGATAAGATCTATCATTGAACTACTTACATTATTTTTTAAACATCGTTCTTTTTAATTATGTATGTACAGGCGACGGCACGTGGATTCTTGTGCAGTTGTAATAGGGGCGAGTTTGCAACAAAAATGGGTAACCTGATGTGCTGTCGTGTGTACTTAAGGGCTATAAATGCTTTTAGCTATAGATATTGCCGTTAACGCAAGAAGTAGTAAAGATAAAACATTTGTAACATAATTATTCAGTTGTAGTTTTATTTTTTACATGTCTCATTGTTTGCACTGATGCGTTGAATTATTTTATTTACTCCTTAGTAATTTTATGATGAATAAGTTTATCATTTTTAGTGTTGTTTAAAAAGAAGCAGACAAAATAACAATTTTCACCATCCCAATATTCCCAATAGGAATATTTCATAGAATCGCGTCTAAACTGTGAAAAGTTTTCGTAATAATGGTTCTATCGTCTAGCGAAGTAAACTTTAGGTCAATTAACGCCGGAAACTGTACTGATAGCAGAATCGATAGTATTGACTGATTTAGGGTACCTAGATAAGCTATGATACTATCTACGTCGATGCAATCACTATAGCTGCTAGCCTGCTATAATGCGGTATCCGCTTAGCTAGTCTAGATACGTTATCCAGAAGTTCATTTGCACGCCAGTGGACGAACTTTAGAATATATTTTGATAATATCGATTTTTCTACTAGTTATCTGATTTAGGTATTTCCATGTTTCAGAGGCCACTAACCTTTTTTGGCCTAATTGAATAATCTGAGACGCCTTTGGCGATATAATATCGAGCCTGTCATCAAGGTTGTGATCCACCATGCTTACGGGTGTGACCTCACTTGTATTTTCAGGAAATTGGCCTGCTTCAGGTTATGTGTGGTTACTATACGAGCACGTATATTATGTAACAACGTTATTTATTGCCTAGCACCTGTGAATTAGGCCATAATAGTGCCCTGTGGTTAGGCTCCGGTGATGCGTAGGCGGCGCTGTCACTATGATCGATGCGTTACATACTCGCCGATCGGCCTTCGCTCGCTGCTCGCGTTTTGTACATTTTATCACCTGTCACTTGTCAGTCATCCGAAGAATGCAGCCGAACCACGAATCGATGATGGATTAACAACCTTAATCGAGTATTGAGACTCGATAAATACGCCTAAAATAAAGCTAAACTTGAAGGTAAGTTAATTATGCAAAGTGCATTGATTGACCTCGAAACCTTAACCAATTAATCGTTATAAGGAAACTTTACGTAATTTCGGGTTATATCGTTTAACAAGGAAAATATTTAAACCTATGTAACGTATTGGTTGCTGCACTTATGCAAGTTTGTTATATTAGGAAAAGTTAAATCACACGTTACTTAATATTAATGTTTCAATTAGTGTTATTTTTTATTAGTAATTGCTGTTATAAAGTTCCTGAGTAATAATGCGTTTCGTAATAGCCAGATATAATACCGTTTACGTCGTGAAATAGTGAATAAATGACCAAAAGGAGATCAGAAATATTTGTCCTGTCCCGAAGTAGGACAGAATGAATGCAGCGTGCGTGCGCACGAGTCGCAAAAGTCACCGGTCGCGGGTGGCTTTGCCAATGTTGCCTCGGCAACGAACACTTGCACAAACGTAAATAACAACGCTGTCTGAAATGTTAACCACGATTTGTACGGTTAGTCACTTAGAAGGCATTAGAACAGCTTTAGACTAGTGAAGAACGCGGTGCTGCCTCTATCGGTGGATGCGTTAACATGATATCTAGTTCAAAGTTTATTACAAATAGGGACGTCCAGGTCCACAAAGTTATTAAGGGAAGCCCCTGAATGCAGGCCGCCTCCAGCCGGAAAATGTGGAAATTATTGGGTGAGCCCTATTTTCAGCAATGGATGCCCATGGCTGAAATGATGATAAGGAGTGGTTTAGACTTGCATAGGAAATTTTGTATCAATTCGCTTGGATACGTATTGTTAACAGCAAAAAGGCATTTTCAATCCTATTTAGCAAAATATAATGCGTGTAAATATTTATTGCAATCTCATTTATCAATCAATCTTTATGTCTTAATATAATTCTGGAGATTTGTACCTAGTTGTGTAGGCTTACTTTGACGGCTAGTTAGTACCAAGACAATGTTGGTCGACCATTGAAATTACTAATAAAATATGGAGTGGGTTGTTTATTTGAAAAGGAGTTCATATTTCAGTCACAAAATATAGTTTAGTAGAAGTTTTGTACTTTAATAAATATACAATGTGTCTAAGTATCTATTTTTAATTTAAAAAATCTATCCTACAACAATTTTCGCTAAGTTTTTGCTTAACTACGTGACGGCTAAATGTCACTGGCACGTAATCTCTCACGTATACGGGAGTGACACTTTTGTGCCTTTGCGGTCACCACGTCGGGGTTCTACTATACCACTAAACTTTCGATGTATCAGTCGACTATCTCTCTCACTTTTGGCAGTATACCAAGTTAGTTGAGTACGAGAGTTAAAGCCTCATATTGCGAAACATTTTCCTTGATATTTACAAATATTATTTGAGTCGCAAGCGTCTAAACTAAAACGAATTTCAGTGTAGTTCTTATCATTTGTCACATTGTACACCCACACAAAAGATATGCTTCGTCCTTCAGTGGCGGGGTCCATTGTGGTGTCAAACTCGACGCTATCAGGCATTGATCGATACCGTATCGTTGTGGTATCGTGGCTATTGACCGCTATTAGTCATCAGATATTAGGTACTTATTATCGGCATGTAGCATTAATGTGATTGCGCTAATACATGTACTTTGTTATGTGCGATTAGATATTAGAAAATAGTTTTTGTCACTCACTGATTTCTTTTTCCTAATCGTGCGTGACATATTTTCTTTTCTCATTGGAATATTTTTGATAAAAGTGAAACTACTCCGTGAAAATCGGAACAAAACTTTATGTAGATCATATTTCAGATTATGCGGGCACTACAGTGAGCCCGTTATAACAAATGTATGCCAATGATTAACTAATTACCAGCATTTAACGGTATGTTAGCAAAGTCATAATAATTTTAATTTTGCGTTTAATTGAGTTAAGCAATAGGACGTCAGTTAAATCGTGATTACCTACTTATTGAAATGTTACATATCATATGAATATTATAATCAGTGATAGAAAACATGATTAATTTAATGGGAAAAAAGTCTGAAACAATTGACCTTATTCAAGAGCATTAAAGTATGTATATGGCTCAATATGCCACTTCGCATTAAGTAGTAGATGAACTCTAAAGAGAAGGTGAACATGACTTCATATGTTTCGAATTGAAAATAATAGTATGTTAAAAATAACCACATTGCGGTTTTGTTAGTTTCACTACCCTAAATCACGCACAGACAATAAAACGTGCAAAATATTTGCCATCAACAAAAAAGTTGTATTTCCTTGAACTCTGACTCATGAACTCGCAAATTCTCAGGACATTTATCTCGGTTTTATTTTTAAACAAAAGCCAGTCCGTTTATGGCAATGGAACCTTCCCGAATACTTATTTGGAGTCTCGGAAGACATTATGCAAAGTGTATTGCTGACATTGAAAATTTCGACGCTTTTACTCGGCCTCATTGCACTGAACGTGTTAATTAAGTCTTAAGGCTGGCTTCGGATTCTTTTACGAACTGATTGCTTCATTATTATTGGAATATTCTAAAATTAACAGTCAAATGAACGTCTTGGTTAACATGTAACTATTTCAACGTAGCTTATTATAAGTTTATACTTATTTAAATTTCGTATTTAAAATTAAGCGTTCGGGTTCTTTAACGGTTA